GTTATGAAGCTTGAAATCATTTCTTAATTTTGCATAAACCATAAAATATCTAGTAAAATATTCATTTTTCGATTATCTTACCTTAATACTTTTATGTACAAAATAATGAGAGGAATTAATTAGTGTAAAGAAAACACATAGTTGTTTTTTTAAAAATATGTAATTGTTAATTGCAAATTACATATTTTTTTCTTAAAAACAACTATGTTTTTTCTTTACACCAATTGATTCCTTTCATTATTTTGTACATAAAAGTATTAAGATAGGATAATCGAAAAATGAATATTTTACAAGATATTTTACGGTTTATGTAAAATTAAGAAATGATTTCAAGCCTCATAATTCGGAAAGTACTTAATAAAAACTAACTTAATTATAGTGTTTTGGAAAGCTCTCGACGTGAGCTACCAGAATATTTAATAAAAAATAGGGAATTCCATTTAAGAAATTGACGGTGATTTTCACGTGACTTTCAAATGACTCTCCCATGTCAAATCATTGCCACTATCTGATGGCCCGCTTCAAGCCATACAACTTTTGTCTGAAACATTTCTTTCTAAAGTGCATAGTTTATGAAATATTCGACCGGTCCGGGACTTTTGTATAGAGTCCATTGATAGAAATCATAGTTAAATAGTAATTTATGCACGGATTTACGCAACTAATTTCACTGAAATTCTTTGTAAAATGAGAAAGAAAACAAATACTAATATAAGCATTTCGACTGATGGAGAATTAAATGCTTTAAATTCACTCGAGGGTCGCGTGATGTACACAACGCCTCTGCTATAAATGGAATTATAAAATCGACTGATGTATTAAACTCATGTAATGCGCCGTCAATCCGCCAACAGATTGCGGGATAATTCGCGAATACGAGCTGTTCATAGAGACGAACGTCATTAAAAACAAATAAACCTCCGCGGGATTGTATCGCGTAAGGAACAACATATCCGACTGGGTGGTCCCATTGCTTTTGTCATCTCCCATTAAATCTCGATGTGTTTCTCGACTAATAATACCATTCAAATGAAAAACAAACTTGACAATAATTTCGAGGAAAATTGATATTCGCCTTATAAACGATACGATCCTTTTACAAATTACTTCCCTTATTCTATTGTCTAATTAATTTTGAAAGTGAATTTGATTTTAGCAAAATCTCAATTTTATTCAGATATAATTTAATCTTAATTTTATTCATAATTTTATTCATAATTTTAAATTAAAAAATAAACGCGCGAATTAAATTTTCATAGAGGAAGAATGTGCATTTTCGATATATTATAAATACATATATCGGCCCGTTCACCGAATACCGAGTATCGAGCATCTCGCTCGGCAAGTCTCTCTCGTACATTTCTGTAACGTTGAACAACATGAAGATGAAGTATGCCCATAATTGGATCCCGCCATAAGCGAAAGGGGTTAACCCGTTAAGCCGTTCGGATCTTACGCGGTCTAACTACTTGACGTAACGAGCTACGTACGTATTGCAGCATTAGCATATCGTTACGGTCGTTGCACGTCGGTGCACGTCGTATTAATATTACAGGGAGGATGATGACACGCCAGTGTCTTGCGTAGAGCGTGGAGATCTTTCAAGGACACCTTTCAGGGATCGGCGTGCGTGTATTCGCGAAAAGAAAAAAAAAATGAGGTGAGAGCGCGAAGTCGTCGTTAGCGATGCTCCAGATGAGCGTGGGCCCTTCCTTGCGATCGCGCACGCTTTGACGACGCGTTACAAAGGAGATCGAAAGGCAGGATTTACGGCAGGAGCGAACGTGCGGGCATCTCCTGCATAATTAAGGCCCCGAGATTTTGCGCAAGCGTTGAAACAGGAGCGATGTCATTTCGCTCGCCGCTCGTACCTTCCCGCTATACTTCCGATTCAAAGACATTCTTTTTCGAGACTTCTACGATGCAGTCGCATTACGATATCACCGACAGTTTAATAAAAAAATCCTTAGCCATCTAATTATGTAACTTTTCATACAATTTGCATAAAAAAACGCACGCTCCAAAAATTAAACAGTCAAGATTCTGTCTGCAACTCCATTAATATGTTTAAGATTCAATTCAATAATTAATATTTAATTGTTATTTAATTACACTGAGGAAAAGTCTGGTTGCATTAATTAGAATTCTGGTAGATTTAACCAGTATGTCTATTGGAAAATGGACGAACCAGAATTCTTGTAGGAATTATCAGATGAATCTGATTAATTTCTTTCTGTTAAATTTACCAAATTTTCTGGTTAATAATATTAAACTCGCCAGCACCAAATCGTAAGCCGTTCTAAAATTGTTTCCATCTAATCTCAAAAGTCTGTTTAATATTCTGAATTCCAACAAGATTATTGAATAAATTCAATCCAAATTATTGAATAAATTATTTTAAATTCAATTCGTTAGAAATTAAACTGATAAACAGTGATGCAAGAAAGGGGATGCAGCTCAAACACACACAATCAGAGAGCTAGTGTCCTCTTTCTGGCACTATTGCTCGTAAGAGAAAAAAATATACTTTGAATTTAACGTTCATACTAGTTCTTTATATACATTTCATGGCAAATATTGAATACGAGTTAAGTTAAGAGTAGCTCGCCGTCTAATGGCAAGCAAAGAAATTAATGTAACAAGAAATTTTATAGTTCCAACCAGAAAATACTAACCAAATCCTTATAATAAAATCTGTTAAACATTCTAGTTATAAAAAAATCGAGTCTTACCATGATAACTAGAAATTCTTGTTTGATTTAACCAAAATGCCTTCAATCATATACGTCTTGTTAATACAATCAAACGATTTTTCTCAGTGTACTTATAATTTATATATACAGGGTGTCCCAAAACTCATAATCAATTTTTCAAAGACAGATTCCTGGGATCATTTTGAGATGATTTTTCCTCAGCGAAAATGTCGATGAAGGGCATCATTTTTTGCATGTTCCCGATTTTTGTCATCATATATCTTTGCAATTAAGTCTTAAATTAAAACTCAACTAAAGTAAACTCTATTTAAAATTAATCGAAGAATGTAGTTTTATTAATATTTTATTTCTACAAAGCTTAGTTTACGAAAAACCCCTTATCTCCAATCACTTATAATTCGAAAATTATTAGTGTCTCGACATTTTCGTTGAGGAAAAATCGTCTTCAGATGATCCCAGGAATCTGTCTTTGCAAGATTGATTATGAGTTTCGGGACACCTTATATACAGGGTGATCCATTTTAACTTAGGCATCCAAATAACTCGAAAAATAAGCACACTACGAAAAAATGGTTAGAATCAAAATTTCGTCATTTCGAGGGGGACGTACAATGACGTTAAAATCATCCCTCCCACCCCTCCCCCTGGGCGGTAAGGGGGGGCAAGTTTGAAATCTTAAATGGGAACCCCTATTTTTTATTGCATATTCCTGTAGCTTATCTCGAGAGCTTTCCAAAACACTATAATTAAGTACCTTTTTATTAAGTACTTTTTGAGTTATAAGGCTTGAAATAATTTCTTAATTTTACATAAACCATAAAATATTTAGTAAACCATTCATTTTTCGATTATCTTATCTTCATACTTTTATGTACAAAATAATGAGAGGAATCAATTGGTGTAAAGAAAACACATAGTTGTTTCTAAGAAAAAATATGTAATTTGCAATTAACAATTCCATATTTTTTCTTAAAAACAACTGTATGTTTTCTTTACACCAATTGATTCCTCTCATTATTTTGTACATAAAAGTATGAAGGTAAGATAATCGAAAAATGAATGGTTTACTAGATATTTTATGGTTTATGTAAAATTAAGAAATTATTTCAAGCCTTATAACTCAAAAAGTACTTAATTATAGTGTTTTGGAAAGCTCTCGAGATAAGCTACAGGAATATGCAATAAAAAATAGGGGTTCCCATTTAAGATTTCAAACTTGCCCCCCCTCACCGCCCAGGGGGAGGGGTGGGAGGGCTGATTTTAACGTCATTGTACGTCCCCCTCGAAATGACGAAATTTTGATTCTAACCATTTTTTCGTAGTGTGTTTATTTTTCGAGTTATTTGGCTGCCTAAGTTAAAATGGGTCACCCTGTATATATATATATATATATATATATATATATATATATATATATATATATAAAAGAGTAGTTAGCACTGATCAGATAAAGCAGTGCACTAATTATCATTAAAATGTTTTCGCCAATATTTTCAGAAAATTAAATATTAAGTAGAAACAAAAAAAATATCTAATTAAATTTTATATATATATATATATATATATATATATATATAAAATTTAATTAGATATTTTTTTGTTTCTATTTAATATGTATTTAATTTTCTAAAACTATTGGCGAAAACATTTTAATGATAATTAGTGCACTGCTTTATCTGATCAGTGCTAACTACTCTTTTCCCATCGCGGTTCTCTTTCGATAACTAAGGAAGCGAGCGCGGGAGGATCATTCGTCCCGTTCACGTGGACCATCGATCGCGTCCCCTGTCCTGCGGCTTAATTAAGTCTCAATTGCCTAATTAGTTCGCTCGCTCGTGAAGAAGGCGAGCAGCGCGGCGCGCCGCGGGCTGTCCCACGCGATGAAGTAATCAGCTTTCTCCGCGGCTCGCTCGTCTCGACTCCGCTCCGTCTCCTCTATCTTCGAACGCGTCTCGTCCTCGCTCTTCTTGTTCGGCGTTCTCCCCGAAATCGCGCACGCCGCCTGAGAACAATGGGAAATGAAACCGCGGGGGCTTTCCACACGCGCGGCTTCCCTATGTGAACTGGAGTACACACGGCCGCCGTCTCTTATACTACCTACGCCGCTCGGGCGAATCCCTCGGCACGTTCCCCCGGTGGCGACGACGACGACGACGACGATGGAGGTGGTGGCGGCGGCGACAGGAAACGGATCCTCTCCGGCGGCGTGGAAACGGAGAGCAAGAAGGAGAGACAGAGCTCTCTCGATATATAAGCAGCGATATGCCCACCGAAACGTCACCACATTTCAGCATTCAGTCTTCGGTGCTCCTCTTCCTCTCTACTCTCTATCTGCACGGTACCTGTCCGACGCGTCGTCTCACACCACCGCCGCCTTCACCCACCCCCGCGATCACTGTTCCCCGAGATATGGATTTGATAGTGCGACAGGTAATGCATCGTGTGACGAGGGGAGCGAACGACAGTGTCGGATACGTGTTTTTTTGCGATAGACCCATCGGCTGTTTCACGTATTTATCGGTTGTACCTTCCCCTCCCTCTCTCTTTTTTTCTATTTCCGGTAAAATCACGAGTGTGCTTCCAAGGCGAATCATAAATGTGTCTAATCGAACGGCCCGCTTCTGATATTGGAAACACGCTTAATCGAATTGACGCCTGTATCGGAATTTTCGTTTCATAAAATCTGTAACTCTAGCACATAACGACACATGTATTCAAGTGACAAATTTCTAACTCAACAACTAACATATTCATTAGTGACGGATCAAAATTTTAAGATCTTTATCTGAAACCGGGAGAGATGGCAAACACAATATGTGTCGTGAGAAAACTGGGACAAGGTAAATGTTTTATTATCTCACTTGTGCATGAGAATTTTGCTAGAATGTGGACCAAGATACGAACTGTGGATCTGTAGCAATACAGATGCCCGACATTTTTATTTTGTATTTCTTATTTTATTTATTTAGCCGTTATTTAACGTAAAATACTAACATACATATCTTACACATTCTTGACTTAGTATTGCAAGTTTTTGAGATTTATGAAATAAGATCTAGACTTTTTTTTAAAGTTTATTGATGCAGGAATGTAATGTAAAAAATATATATCGACTAATATGTATTAACTAATTATATGAATTCAGATTTCAGATGTACATTTATTTCCGGAGATTAATAAGTTTAGTGTTGGCATTTAATGTTACGTGTACACATTCCATATCATTCTATTCAATTCAATTCTCTCTTTTCCTTTGATGAAGATTAATATTGATATCGCTCTTAATCCTTGTGCTGGAAAAAATTAAAATAATATTTTTTTAAATATAGAATATATATATATATATATATATATATATATATTTAATATTAATATTTTATTTATTTACAAATATTTATATTTTATTAATTTACAAAATATTGGACTGTCTTTTATACAATTAAAGTAAGATAAAATTCGAAGAAAGTAAAAATATCTGTTGCAATTTACAATTCTTAATTTATTATATATATTTTTATTATTATAGCATATATATATGCTTTTTTACTCCGTAATTATATTAAAAATTAAGAAAATTTGGATTACTGTTGTATATAAAATTTTACATGTTAAACATGTATGTTCATTGCATTGAATGGCACACGTTAAATTATTTAGAAAAAAAATTATTATAGCAGAGAAAGGAAGAGTTAAAAGCTTTTTAGTCTAGTTGCACGTTTAAACACTAGAACAATAATCAAAACCGGACTGTTAATACGAAAAAAAGGGATAATAATACAGAAGAGAAAGATTATGTAGATTACATCTTTAACATGCAATATCTCTTACTAACAAATGTTAACATACTTACTAACATTGTCATTACCAAGACCGTAATTGAATCTACATATTCGTACAAGATACGCATTGAGATACATCATCATTATGCTAATGCATACAATCATTACGTTTCTATATTCATTAAAGTACAAAAATGTGATTAATTAAATGGTACGGAAGAAGTTGTCGTTAGTTCAGATTGTTTTAATATAGCATTTAATTGCATAAAATAATGATTTGTATAATAATTATATATACTCTAAAGATTTATTGAGTCACTCTTTTGCTCACAAATTTTGTAAATATAAATATATATACTTTATATTAACTTTTTCGTATATATATATACATATATATATATATATATATATATATATATATATATACAGGGTGACCCATTTTAACTTAGGCAGCCAAATAACTCGAAAAATAAGCACACTACGAAAAAATGGTTAGAATCAAAATTTCGTCATTTCGAGGGGGACGTACAATGACGTTAAAATCAGCCTCCCCCTGGGCGGTGAGGGGGGGCAAGTTTGAAATCTTAAATGGAACCCCCTATTTTTCATTGCATATTCTTGTAGCTTATCTCGAGAGCTTTCCAAAACACTATAATTAAGTACCTTTATATTAAGTACTTTTTGAGTTATAAGGCTTGAAATAATTTCTTAATTTTACATAAAATAAACCATAAAATATCTAGTAAACCATTCATTTTTCGATTATCTTACCTTCATACTTTTATGTACAAAATAATGAGAGGAATCAATTGGTGTAAAGAAAACATACAGTTGTTTTTAAGAAAAAATATGGAATTGTTAATTGCAAATTACATATTTTTTCTTAGAAACAACTATGTGTTTTCTTTACATCAATTGATTCCTCTCATTATTTTGTACATAAAAGTATGAAGGTAAGATAATCGAAAAATGAATGGTTTACTAGATATTTTATGGTTTATGTAAAATTAAGAAATTATTTCAAGCCTTATAACTCAAAAAGTACTTAATAAAAAGGTACTTAATTATAGTGTTTTGGAAAGCTCTCGAGATAAGCTACAAGAATATGCAATGAAAAATAGGGGGTTCCATTTAAGATTTCAAACTTGCCCCCCCTCACCGCCCAGGGGGAGGGGTGGGGGGGCTGATTTTAACGTCATTGTACGTCCCCCTCGAAATGACGAAATTTTGATTCTAACCATTTTTTCGTAGTGTGCTTATTTTTCGAGTTATTTGGCTGCCTAAGTTAAAATGGGTCACCCTGTATATACAAGGAAAGAACTATCTCAGCTCGTTGTCTCATTGAATCCCGAACATGCCGAATTTGAAAAACATTGTTGATGCCTGTAAAAAGAATTCTAAGACAATGAGATAAAATTTTGTACTACAAAAATCTTAATAACTCAAAAACTAATCATTTCCGGACCTATGTAAATTAACATTTTTTTCTTCTCTAAGCATGAGGAATCCATTCCTGAAATTTTGCCCACCACTTATGAAACACCCTATATATATATATAATATTAATGTATATATGTAACACACTAATACACACACACACATGTATACTTATACATAATATACAACATATTAATATTATACAATTGTAACAAGTACTAATCGTTTTATATAAAATTTGGCACGTTAAGCATACATTTAAATTTTGATTATATACAATAGATAATTTACATATTAATATATATTAATATATATTAATTTATATACATATATTATAATTATATATTTATTATAATATACTATTAAATATAATATATATACATATATATAAAATCATCTAATGTATATATAATCAAAATTTAAATGTATATTTAACATATAAAATTTTATATACAACGATTAATACTTGGTGCAGGTGCTTTGCTTGATTTAATAGCAATAATTACAAGACAAGTAATGTAACATAATAATAAATGAATAATAATAAATATAATAATAATAAGAAATATAACATTTCTTTCATAAATCTCGGTTCAAATTAATGTTGTAGTTTTGCATAACATCGATTCACGTCCATACAAGAGTTTATCTTCACTCATTTAGTCATTAGCACGTTAATGCAGCTGCTTAATTATCTGAAAAAAAAAATCATTTGCGTTTTCCCGAAGAAGTCGGTTGGGATTATGCGCCTAAGAGTTCGCTGGTTCTTTTACAGTTATGTTTAGTCTTGCGTCAGTTTTTAAAGTGCCGGTGATGTAATATCGTGCACCTTCTCACGATACAGCGTAGAAATGGCGAGGGAAGAAAAGATAGAAGCGCGCGACTCTTAATTTCCCGCCTACGCAACGCGCGCGTAGCTGATCATCTGACGTTCTCATCTGACGCATGAAAAGCATCCCACGGAAAGTCATCGGAAATTTTTTAGGGTCCCATTTTAATTACCCGTCCGCCGACTGCGCATTTTTAATTATTCGCTTTCTACCTCGCGCGAGCTCGTTTATTATTTCGCTATATATTTAACGAATAACGTTATTATACGTGGAATGTACTTGTTTGACAAATTGTTTTTTTTTGTTCTCACACTTCTTATTCTCAATTGTCACATTTATGTTAGCTAATCTTGAAAAGATATTTCCCAAGTCACTGAGAAATTTTTGAAATCTTATTAACCGTGGATCAACTTTTCGACTATATTTGTATCAAAACGTAAAGAAAACGTGACATCAATAGATGTCTACTTTTTCTTATTATAGGATTAATTATTTATTAATTTAAAGATAAGATTCATTATTAATTAATTAATTTATTAATAATGTATTAATTAATAATTAAGTTATTAATTATTTATTAATCTAAGAATATTTATTTTTTAGACAGAATTATTAAATATCTGTTTTTCATTATAATACGTTAAATATTTTTAATAAACTTTTAAATATATATTAAGATTAGTTATTAATCTAACAAAAATATATTTGAAAAGGTACTGCTCGCCCTGATGGCGAGCATCAGCATCGTGCATTGCGAGCCACCCCTCAGCAATCAGTATGGCGTTCCCGGAAATTACGCAGGTGGAAGTCATCATGGTACACAAGGTGATGGGAACGGATTCGGAGGCCATTATGATGGACATGATAATCAAGATTACGCAAATAATGAGGTATTTGTAATATATATCTGAGACTCTAAGTCTTCAACGTAGTCGCACGCATGATTGAGAAGACAATGTATCCCATTCATAGTAATTCCTTGCTTTAACTTCATTATATTTTGCAGTCCTCCACTTACTCCGGATCTTCTTTGACATAAGAATAGATCTTTTCTTACTAATCATTAGTGCCATACGTTCATTTACAATCTTATTACTTAATGATGTAAATTATTTGTCTAATCGTTCGAATCGCGATTCTGTCAAAACTATTTCTTCAATCTCAGTCCTTTCGTATGTGACACCGATAATGCCGATGTATCAATAAAATGTCAAGATAGTAATTTTCACAGGTACGAAGTATTGCGCATATCCGATTAAAAATTCTTGCCGTATAATCCGATATAACGTGAGATTGAATCTCGGTTTACCATGTTCGATCTTCGACGATTGCCAAACACTTCAATAGCTGGTGCAGGCGTGTTTTGCGCAATCAGGCCTCAAATTGCACGATCGATAATTAAGCCAGTTGCTTGTTGCGTTATTAAACGGGGTGCGTTTTTCCATTGATAAATTGTTCGCAAAATGATGCAAAGTTTATTAATATCGATCATCGCGAACATCGGAGGGAACTTGTATATTCTTACTGGAAAATCTCTCGTTGTTAGAAAACACGATCGGATAGGACTTTCAAGTTCTCAATTTCGTGAAATTTAAGATGACTCGCGTGATATTCCGCTGTCGATGATTTTGATGATTGCACGATGCGAGGGGGAGTGCCTCGTTTGACCATGTTGTTGCGATTGACCGCAACCAATTATATCGACCTGTGCCTAGGGTAACCAGCCTAACCTAACCTAACCTAACCAGCAACGATTGACCAATCATAGAGTCCTTTTTTTGAATTGGCCAATTGGCAACGTGATCAATCGGGTGTCACCCGATGCGAGGCATTGACGTAAAAAAGTACGTTACATCATCGGAAGAGACAGACAGCTCTTTTGTTCGAGTATAATTCAATGTTGCTTTCTAAATCTAGACTCCCGCTTCTAATATACATACATACGATATCGTTGATCATTTTGACGTCTCTTACGAAAACCCCAGGCACTCCCGAGGTCAAAGTTGAAGACCTCGGATCTAGATTCGATTGTGTCTTAGAAGTAACATTGAACTTTTCGGATAAAAACTGTCTGACCTCATTACGTAAAACTTTACTTAAAGTAGAATGCAAACCCGAGCTTGAACTTTACTTGCCGAGTGATCTTATGAAGTTGGATTTTTTTTACAAGCCGATAATGATAATGTATCTTGAGATATTTTGCATTTTGTATACACGTGTGCTTCGATGTTTTTCTCTTATCTTATAATCTTTAATAATTACGATCTATACAGCTAATATCAACGTAAGAAATCAACGCTACCCACTTACTTCGAGCTGTTATTGATACCAAGGCTGCATCACCTCTCACACCTCTGATGTTTATCTTTACTGGTTTCATCACCGGAAGGGAACCTTTCAATGTGAAAAACAAGTAAAAATTAGATCAATCGATAATTAAAGATTAATATAACGATTATACAGAGTGTCCCAAAAGTCCTAGATCGGTCGAATATTTCATAAACTATGCACTTTAGAAAGAAATGTTTCAAACAAAAGTTGTATGGCTTGAAGAGGGCCATTAGATAGTGGCAATGATTTGACATGGGAGAGTCATTTGAAAGTCACGTGAAGATCACCGTCAATTTCTTAAATGGAACCCCCTATTTTTTATTACATATTCCTGTAGCTTATCTCGAGAGCTTTCCAAAACACTATAATAAAGTATCTCTTCATTGAGTACTTTTCGAGTTATGAGGTTTGAAATCATTTCTTAATTTTGCATAAACCATAAAATATCTAGTAAAATATTCATTTTTCGATTATCTTACCTTAATACTTTTATGTACAAAATAATGAGAGGAATCAATTGGTGTAAAGAAAACACATAGCTGTTTAAAAAAAAATGTAATTTGCAATTAACAATTACATATTTTTTTTTTAAAAGAACTATGTTTGAAACATTTCTTTCTAAAGTGCATAGTTTATGAAATATTCGACCGGTCCGGGATTTTTAGGACACTCTGTATAGCGCTTGCGTGTAATTAAGAACTCGCTTATGTTGAAATACTTTGACATATGTAAAACGTTAAAGTACCGTTTATCTATTTATTAAAGTAACTTAACTATTACAATGAAAACTAATGAATTACATTTGCAAAGGGGTACGCGTCGCGGAGATAAAAGCGGCGAAATACATTTCGCGGAATAATTAACTCCGTAAATTGATTTCTCCTCACGATTCACACATCCATACCTAGACAAAAAAAAGTATCCCTATAATCTCTCCGTACAAGAGCAAAGAGCGTCGCTTTTGCGCAAGAGACGCCTTGCACAAATCCAATCAACTTGGTTAAAAATCCACGATCAAAGGATATGTTCTCCGCTCTCGATTAGTACCCTACCTATACCTGAGCATTGTTTGAACGCGCGCGCGATTACGTGAACTTCGAGGGGGATCCGACGCGACGCACAGGGAATGTCTCGAACGAGGTTCGGAGAGACGGTGCTACAAATCCGAATCCGGCATACGGAGCGGAGAAGAAGCGTGGCGCAAACGCGCCACACGGGGGGATGACGTAACAATATTAATAGGGTGAACCGCGACCGCGGGCATAATTCATGGTAAATCGTTATTGCTGGTTAGCTAATCGTCCCGGGGAATCTGAGCACTCGACGAGATGCTCACTCGCGAATCTGCCCGTCGGCCAACAAGCGAGCGAGCGAGCGAGCGAGTTGCCGCGAAGGCGATGGTAGGGCGGTGATGATGGTGTGCGTCGTGAACCAGATTAAATCGCGGCCTCTCTTCTCAAGCATCGTTCGCTCCACTTTACCGGGGCGAGGGAAAGAGAGCCGTCTCTCGCCTGACGAGAGGTTGCGTCGCATTATTAATACGTTCATTCGTTACCTTTTCACGTTTATCTCCCTTTTATCAAGGTGGGAACGTTCCATATACACTTTTTTTCCACTCTCTCCTCGACCTCTCTCCCGTTTCTCATCGTCTCCCCAAGCGAGAGAGAGAGGAAAAGGAGACTCATATTTTCATCTCTGCTCGTTTGCTTCAGCCCAAGAGCTACGAATTCGGCTATTCCGTGAAGGACGACGCTACCGGAAACGACTTTGGCAGACGCGAGACGAGCGATGGCGAGACCGTGCGCGGCGAGTACAGAGTGCAGTTACCGGATGGTAGGACCCAAATAGTCACCTACACCGCCGACTGGAGGACCGGTTTCCACGCGGACGTGAGGTACGAGGGTACTGCGACCTATCCGGATCAATACAACACACAGGGGTACAACGCCGGTCAGGGTATCGGCTACCAGGGGAATCAGATCGGCGGCGGTGGAGGTGGATTTACCGGAGGTAGCGCGTAGGATCTTTCTTTTTTTTTTTTTTTGAAGATATCCGATACGTAATTTTTGTTCGACTTTGAATCCCCTTTATCTCGATGTTTTTTGCCAGCAGGTAGCAGCCAGGGCGGTTACAATTATCAACAATCAAGCGGTGGACAGTACGCAAACAGCGCCAACAATTACAACTATCAAGTCGGCTCCAATTCCATAGATAGCTATTCTAACAATTTCGGTGCGAGGAACACTTACTCGGGAATACCATCACCCACATACGGTCCTGCTTTTCATTAGAATATATAAGACAATATTATCATAGGATTACCGATTTCGTTTGAGTGTAATCTTTTTTTTTAAATAAAGACACTTTTTCTTAAAAATTCCTCCACTGTGTATACGATTTATTAGACCTTTAAATTAAATAGTTAATTTATTATTAAAGTTTAAATAGTTTAAATAGTTAATTTATAGTTTAATTTATAAGTTTAAATAGTTTAAATAGTTAATTTATTATTAAATTATTTAATGATTAAGTTTAAGAGAGACAGCAAACTGCATTTTTGTATTCAATTGCTTTCTCTCTCTCTTCTTTCTCGAATATATCTTTCGTTGATATTAATCTTCGGTTTTAATTATCTGTTTACGATGAAAAATCATGGCGACAGATATACATACGTGATCAAAACAACATTGCAACATTGACTAATGACACATTACATTTCCATTATAATTATACAACTGATGAGAAAACATTTTGATTATTCAATTCTCGTGCAATTCGTGCACTGCATTTATCGTGTGTGTCGTTGGTAATCTCGGAGAATAGATATTAAACTTGCATATTTGTCTTATTTTTCTCTCGCATAAGTGAGATGAGATAAGATTCTTTCGAACAATAATATATGCTCGAGGTTTTATCTTATTTTTCTCTCTCGCGTAGATTGTGTGTCGAGAAATTTTGTGAAAGACTTGTATACTTTTGTCAATTTTAACGATATTTTCTAAAAATATAAAATGATAAAATATTTATTTAATAAATTTTTATTATATAAATTTTATATAATATAAATAATATTATATAAATTATATAAATTATATAAATTTATATTATATAAAATATTTATTATATAATTATTATATAAATAAATATTATATAATTATTATATATATAAATATTATATAATAAATTTTTATTATATAAAATATTTATTTAATAAATTTTCTTAATCAAATTTCACTTTTCCATTATTTTTTTTTGTAATACATTTTCTAATGTATAATAAGCATAATCATTTTCGAAAATAAGACAAATTTACTTTCTTTTTCTTATTAAGTCAAGTTCACCGTTTAGATTACTTGTAAAAATACTGTCAGTTGATGCTGCTGTTTTCCATTATGTCATCAGGAAGTTTACGTATTCTTCATATCTGCAGAGATAAACTTTCTCCAATGTGTAACATACTAAATTGCACACTTTAAATTTCATTAAATCGCGAGCACACGTCATCGCACGTATAAAAGTATCTATTCAACTGCCATCATCATGAGATATACGAATATATCACCATAGCGCGACATTAATAACATCGTGAAAGTATAAGTTTGCAAAATTAGAAGTCATATATGTACAATAACATTAATTATCATTAGATAGTTTCTTCATATCTCATGTTGCAAACAAATATATTATATATATAAAACAATTCTCAAAATAAAAAATTGTAAAATAAGACTATTGAGGAGCTAAGAAACACATATAATAAAATGTTCTTTTCAAAAGATATTCTTTTAATAACATTTTCTCTGATCAACCTAAAATCGACTTTTTCTTAGCAAAAATATCAAGAAAGTTTCATTTTTATACTAATTTGCAATTTTTCCATCATATGTTTTTGCAATTAAGCCTCAAATTAAATTTTCTCAAAGTAAATTCCATCTCAAATTGACTAAAGAATGTAGTTTTGTTAATTTTTGTAGTTTTTTAATCTTTTAATTTTATAAAGTTTAAAAAACCCTATTTTTTGATCATTTATAACTTGAAAATTATCGATATTTTCGATTAAAAAAAAAGTCTCTAAATTTGCTAAAAAGTTTGCTATTAAAAGAACATCTAATGGCAATAGAATATTCCGTTAATAAAAATTAAAATATATAAAATAATAAAAATGAAAATGTATAAAAAATCTGAATATTATTATAATTTTAAAATATTTGAAAGGAAATGGGAGTATGTGGCAAATTGGATAGTTAATCGCCTACTATAGATCTTTCGAAACATTTTACAAAGTAGGTTGTCCGCTTGTCAATATTGCACAGACTTATTAGATTGTGTAGCATAACCATACCATTCGGACAAAAGAGTGACATAACGGAAGTAAAGGTGAAGGTGATCGTGAGTGTCCTTGCCGCTGATCCGGACCATTTAAAAACGTTGAACATACGAATCGAATAGGTTTAATATTTGGGACGATCGTGCACGCGTGAAAGGAGTTCGCCAGAAGAGCTTACGAGTTATTAGCAAACAAACAAGCCCGGGATACTCCGACCGTGTGTTCATCAGAGAAAGTGCATTTTCGCCTATGCGACTTGCGAATCTCCGAATCGATTAGGAAACGTCAAGGAATTTCTGATCTCATGCCCGCGATTGCTCCAATAATATATTTCTCTGTGTAAAAATTCCTCCTCTTCTAATTGACTCATAAGAGTGTCGAGAGTGTCCAGCATATAACGAAGGAAGTAATCCATCATAACGGTTTTTAAATTCTTCTACGATCGAAGAAAAGAATATGAAATTTTGCAATATTTTGTAACATCTATTTCTCTCTCTTTCTCGTAAGATTTGATATGTATTTAAAATATTATACATTAAAGAAATCTTTAAATATATTTCGTTTGTATATAACGTACATGTTAATATATATGTTAAATCTATACAATATATATTAGGACTGCTGAATTACTTCGAAGATTCGAAGCTTCGGTATTAAAATTTTGGAAGATCGAAATTTCGAAGTTTCGAAGCTTTGACGGTTATATTACTGCGATAAATACACACTTATAAAATTATATAACAAAATTTGAAAACATTTCAATTATGTTGCTAAATTGAAATGTCTAAAAATTTTGATTTTTAATATTTTTTAATAATTTATTAATAATTTAATTTTTAAATAATTTTTGTGCATAATATGTATATATTAATTAATTCATTTACAATATTTTCAACATTTTTTACATGAATTTGCGAGATTATATTTTTCGAAGCTTCGAAGATTTGAGATTAATTTTGAAATTCGAAGATTCAAAGTTAACTTTGAAATTTTGAATTCTTTCGATGCTTCGAATCTTCGAAGTTGTTAAAAATAACAGTTCATAAATAAATATATATATATATATTTATTTATTTATTTATTAAAGAGCAATTAAATTTTCTGATTGTAAATTTCTTAAGAAATATATTAAATAAATAAATAAAGGTATATATATATATATATATATATATATATATATATATATATATTTATTTAATATATTTCTTAAACAATTTGCAATCAGCAAATTAGTTGCTCCTTGAAAGAATATCTCAATGAAGTGAAAAAGACTGCGAAAAATATACGTTTATTAAAATTCAATTCATAAAAAACTCTTCATTTTCAATGTATTACTATTCAAGAATCAATCATTCGAAACCTCGAAACTCTCGATAAGAAGAGATCGTCACGGAATCTGTCAGTGAGAATCCTTCGATCAGAGATCTGGGATATCTTATGTAAACATATCTTTAGAAACGAATGTGAGCCCAGTGGATCCAAAAGTAGACGTCGAGTCAATTAAACAACTCTCCGACATTTTTACATCAGGCGTCTAGACACACCGATTCATCCCTGACTTACTTTACATACAGAATCTTCTCTTTTCGAGTGATGATGTAGCGGGGGCTAGATCGGATTTTGCGCTGAAGAGGCAAGAAGAATAGTTGACATACACATATATACATGCATATACATGTATTTACTGGTGCACGTGTAGCATACGAGCAGCCTTCCGCATCGCATAGAAAATTGCGTAACGCCATTTATCCCCGATTACAGAGCAAACCGCGCATCCGAGCCTTCACTCGCACGAGTTACGCGGCCACCTATTTGCACCGAGATTCTATCTGTCGATGCCGCGCTCGACGCCGAGTGTAATAATTAGTGGCAATTATGCTGAGATTAATTAACATCTCCTCGATCGCGCCATTTATCGAAAAATCGAATTGTGAAATTGGATTTTTAACTCTTTACGATTCGCGAAGGGATCAAATCTATATCTTTTCCATAGTGACCCACCTCTGATACATATTTACGACGGACAATTCTCCGATGTATTCCGTTAATAGAGAAAATCACGTTTGCGTAAAACTCGTCTTAGTTGGACGATGTTTTAGATTTTGACGAGATTAAAGAAACTCTTTGCTACTCAAGTGTGCTTGTATACGTAAAGTCGTTAACGAAGCAATGCGCACAAGTAGGCTGAGGTAGATGAGCGTGATGAATGGAAAGATGGCCCACGCATATGCCGGAATCCGACAGTGTTTGCGAAACAGCTGATTAATGTGGTGATCGATGTGTCGGAATTAACTTTACCTGGCGCGTGCCAAATTTTATCTCAGCACAAGCTTTATCTCTGGCATTAATTTTCTCAAAAAAAGGGAACCTTCAAGTTTCTCCCGCGACAAAAATATAGATCAGAAAAAAGTGAGAGAGAATATAAAATCTTGATATATTCTTATTATAAATATATTTCTATGACGTTGATATAATTGTAAAAAAAAAAGCTTTTAAAAAATCCAGCATTTTCAAATCAACAAATTTATCTTAATTATATAAATTAATTCAGATTAGAAACGTAATTATAAATGCGATTCTCTTTTTATTTACAATAAATAAATGTTACATAACATGGAAAAGCGCGAAATAATATTGTTAAAATGTGGGGTAAAAGGTAACGGCATATCTCTTTTCGATGAATACTCGGCCTATCACGCCAATGAGGTTCGCAATTTCGATGAAATTACTGCCGGCCGCATGTATATTTGTTTTATGGTAATATGGCCGCGAAACGACCTGGTATCTATTGCAATTATATTGAAAAAGGTGCTCGAAGTTCGCGATGTATGCATTAGACGATTGACGATTAGCCAATCATGTACACGTACATATATAAAAATATATATATATATATATATATATATATATATATATATAATATAGATTAAATAATATCGCCAATTAATAAATTATGTATTTATGTGTATTTTATAATTATATATCCGTTTTTTAGATAGTTTAATTTAACATCAGAACGATTTGATTTAAC